GCGGGGTTCGAAGCCACCCGGCTGGGCCAGTTCGCCGGGTTCTGCCCCGTCGCCAGGCGCCCGTAGTCGGGCAGCCTGGCCGTGATGCCCCGTGCCTGCGGCTGCAGCACAGGTTCCACTGCCCGAGCGAGAAGTCCCTCACCAGGCTCGGTGCGTTCCTCGCGCAGAGGAGCGACCCGTGGGTGATCTTCGGGGACTGGAGCAGTAACCTCCAGCCATCGGTACGGGCTGCCACGGGTAACCGACGGCCGAAGTGGCTGCAGGGAGGGATCCTTCTCCCAGCTGACTGCGCTGCCACTGGCCACCGTGGAGGAGGAAGTCTGCTAGAGGTTGCGATGGTCAGTTCTGTGGCGGCAGACCGCACGGCGACTGCGGAGGTTCCGTGGGCGGACCGCGTCGGCCTCCTCGCGCTCACGGAGGCCGTCGCACCGCACAAGACGGGCGGCGGCAGGCTGCGAGCTCGAGGCCCAGTTTTGCCGCCGCTGCGATCATCGCGTCCGTGGCTGTGAGTGCAACGTAGAGCGTACCGAGCAAACATAGCGAACCATCTGCTTCCGAGTGCGGAGGCAGGCCACGTGGCCACCCCGCCTCTCTCTGGCTTCGAGGCCGCGAGGCGGAGGTTGTCCCCGCCTTCGACCCCGACATCCCTCCGCACCGCTTCGGTGTCGGCGCGCTGTCCACAACTCCTCCCTCCTCCCTCCTCCCTCCTCCTCCCTCCTCCTCCCTCCTCCCTCCTCCCTTCTCTCTCCTCCTCCCTCCTCTCTCCTCCCTCCTCCTCCTTCCTCCCTCCTCCTCCCTCCGGGGACGGGTCAGAGGGGGCGAGCGGTCTGACGACCCGCTCGGAAGGCGAGTCGGCTCGGGTGCCGTGACCCGGGAGGCCCCCTCGGCGGGGGGCGTGCCCCCCCCGTCGCGGGCGCATGTCGTGCAGCATCGCGGGTGCCAGGCACATGGGGTTCCCTTCCCCGAGCGGAGGTCATGGCGTCCGCCGAGGCCCATTGATCGCTCCCGCGGGCCCCTGTGGTTCGTGTCAGACCACGAGCCTCTGGTGGATACTCCAGATTTCGTAATAAAAGGGAGGGGGTCTGGACCCTCCAAGACAAGCCATTTCAGCCCCCCCCCCGTGGGAGAACCCTCCAAAACATCGTCCCCATATCCCCCCCAGGCCCTCCAAGATAGCCTGGAAGAGAGCCCCCCCCGAAGTGAGACCCCCTCCCTTTTATTACGAAATCGGGAGTAGTCGGGCCAGATGTCGGCGCGAGTCTGTTTCGTCCAGGCGTGGGAGCGCTGACCGTCGGGTCGGTGCGGCCGCCCGTCTTCGATGCTGGTGTGGCGGCCAGCTACGACGGATCCCCCCAAGAGGAACGCAGCGTACCCCAATTGCAAGAGGGAAAGTACCACGCCGAAGTACGAGTACGGACGGGAACTGTGCCGTGCAGAAGTACGAAGCACAGACATTCACACATGCGAAGTTGAAGGAAAGTGTTTGATATATATGTTTTGGTCATGTGTTCTTCCAGACTTCGGAGCTGCATTCGTAATTGCCCATGCTGTCCGCATGCACGTGCTCGTGTTTCGGATGTGCGCTCGTGCGTTTTCCCATGAGTTTCACACCCGCACTTCCGCGTGCCACATATTTTGCACTTGCGTTTCGCGGACCTCGCCTGGCTCGTTCTCTCGGTCCGCACGTGTTTTGCACTCGTGCTATCGTGTCATACGCATATTCGCACTTTCTCTAAGTCTGCCCAAATCGAGGATCTCCTGGTCGTAGCCGCCTCGAGATCGTGTAAGCCTTTCAGGCCCGACCCCATTCTCGTTTGTTGGGCCCCGTCCCGTGTGGAAGCCACAGACATCAGGTCGGTGCGATTTGTTGTGGGTTGCGGGCAGTGAGTGCGCTGACGAGCTGGCGGCCAGAGCGGTTGCCGCGGCGTGGTGTGCACTCGTCGCCAGCGCCCTGGCCACCGACCAGCGCGACGTGGCAACATTCCCCGTGAGGAAGCGGGCGCGAATAGGTCTCGCGGGTGACATCCAACCCGATCCCTGCACCCGCGGTGCACCTCTCGGGTCTTCGTCCCGATCGGCAGCCCAGGCCCGAGCTGGTCCTGAGAGAGCCTCCCGGCACGCTTGGCGGCGCGGCGGCTCCGAGTTTGCTGCCGTTGCTGCACGGCTTTCGTGAACCGAGGGCGCATCGCCTTGACAGCCCAGGCCGTTTGTCCGAGGGCCCCACCCCAGCTCGGTAGATCATCATTTACCAAGCTACCCACACCCAGCCCGAAGGCATTCGACCACCCCTAATTTGATTTCGGTTTGGGGGGGCGTGCGATTTCCATTGTGCTTCCCTAGTGTTCTGGAATGCCCCCCCCCTACCAGAAGCCGACGAGCCAAACGGTGACTTCGGGTTGGGTTGGGGTGTCTTGGGAGGTGGTCAGCATGGCGCCGCTCGTCGGGAGGCGAGTTGTGCGGCGTAAGGCTTTGGGCAGCTCTCACGCTCTGCATCGCCGGGGGGCAAAATAAAGGAAGTGCTTTTCCCAATCATCCTGTAGTGTTGGGTCCTCGATTTGAAGAGACGGTCCCCGCGTTCTCCTTCCGCCTCCTTCCTCCCTCCTCCTCTCCCTCCTCCCTCCTCCCCCTCCTCCTTCCTCCCTGCGTTCCACCCACCCAGTACAGCGTTCCGTGGCCCCATAGGGAGATCCACCGAAGACCGCCAGAGGCAGGGTTCGCATGGCGGCACCGCCACCTTTTGGCGCACCCCTCTCACGAGTTGTGGCGCCACAGGGAGCTCCAGCGAAGGCCTCAGTGGCAGGGTTCGCACGGCGGCCCCGCCCCATTTTCGGCGCACCCCTCACTCGTTTCGTGGCCTCATGGGGGGCTCCACCGAAAGCCCCAGTGGCAGGGTTCGCATGGCGGCCCCGCATTCTGGCGCACCCCTCACACGGTTCGTGGCCCCATAGGGAGCTCGAGCGATGGCCCCAGTGGCAGGGTTCGCATGGCGGCACCGTTCCATTTTGGCGCAACCCTCACACGGCTCTTGGCCCCATAGGGTGATCCACCGAAGGCCACAGTGGCAGGGTTCGCATGGCGGCCCCGCCCCATTTTGGCGCACCCCTAACGCGGTTCATGGCCCCATTTGGAATTCCCTTTGCTTCGTCCCACCGGCTGCCCTGCGGTTCTCATACTTATGTATGGTTGGGTCCTTCGCCAGGATAATTTCCCAACCATCCTGTGGTGTTGGGTCCTCGTTTTGATGAGACGGCGCCCTGCGTTCTCCTCCTCCGCACTCCTTCTCCCCCTCCTCCCTCCTCCCTCCTACCGAGCGCCCAGTGCAGCATTTCGTGGCCCCATAGGGAGCTCCACCGACGGCCCCAGTGCCAGGGTTCACATGGCGGCCCCGCCCCTATTTCGACACACCCCTTTCGGCACACCCCTGACACGTTTCCTGGCGCCATAGGGAGCTCCTCCGAAGGCCCCTGTGGCAGGGTTCGCATGGAGGTCTCGCCTCATTCTGGCACACCTCTCACACGTTTCGTGGCCCCATTGGGAGCTCCACCGAAGGCCCCAATGGCAGGGTTCGCATGGCGGCCCCGACTCTTTTCGGCGCACCCCTCACACGGTTCGTCGCCCCATAGTGAGTTCCAGCGAAGGTCCCAGTGGCAGGGTTCGTATGGCGGCCCCGCCGCATTTCGGCGCACCCCTCACACGGTTCGTGACCCCATAAGGAGCTCCACCGAAGGCCCCAGTGGCAGGGTTCGCATGGCGGCACCGCTACCTTTTGGCGCACCCCTCACACGATTTGTGGCGCCACAGGGAGCTCCACCGAAGGCCCCAGTGGCAGGGTTCGCATGGCGGCCCCGCCCCATTTCGGCACGTTTCGTGGCCCCAAAGGGAGCTCGACCGACGGCACCAGTGGCAGGGTTCGCATGCAGGCCTCGCCTCATGTCGGCACACCCCTCCACCGAAGCCCCAGTGGCAGGGTTCGCATGGCGGCCCCGCCTCATGTCAGCACACCGCTCACACGTTTCGTGGCCCCATAGGGAGCTCCACCGAAGGCCCCAGTGGCAGGGTTCGCATGGCGGCACCGCTACCTTTTGGCGCACCCCTCACACGATTTGTGGCGCCACAGGGAGCTCCACCGAAGGCCCCAGTGGCAGGGTTCGCATGGCGGCCCCGCCCCATTTCGGCACGTTTCGTGGCCCCATAGGGAGCTCGACCGACGGCACCAGTGGCAGGGTTCGCATGCAGGCCTCGCCTCATGTCGGCACACCCCTCCACCGAAGCCCCAGTGGCAGGGTTCGCATGGCGGTCCCGCCTCATGTCAGCACACCGCTCACACGTTTCGTGGCCCCATAGGGAGCTCCACCGAAGGCCCCAGCGGCAGGGTTCGCATGGCGGCCCCGCACCATCTCGACACAACTTCACACGTTTCGTGGCCCCATAGGGAGCCCCACCGAAAGCTGTATTCATAATGCGGTACCCCCAATTGCAGATGATCGGTCCATTCGCCAGGATAATGTTCCAGGTGCTGTCGTACAGAAGCCAACGACCCCCGATACCTGGTCGCCGTGTGTCCTCCCTGCAGCGAGATAGGGAAGCAGATTTTGGCCAGGATGGAACGTGGCGAATCCCCACCCGAGCGGACCGCCGAAGACGGTCCAAGCCGCAGGCGTTGCCGATCTGCAGCGCTAGTCGTCTCTCGGACGGGGTCCGTTGTTGCTCGCCCATTAGTTCCCATAGCTCTCTCCGTCGTCCCCGCAGCTCCCCGCCCTCCTCCCCTCGCTCCTCCCTCCTCCTCCCTCCCTCCTCCCTCGCTCCTCCCTCCTCCCTCGCTCCTCCCTCCTCCCTCCTCCGCTCTCCCCTCGCTCCTCCCTCGCTCCTCCCTCCTCCCCTCGCTCCTCCCTCCTCCCCCTTATCCCGCCCCCTCCCTCTTCGTCGCCGTCGTCGGCATCCGCCGCCGTCGTCGTCGTCGTTGTTGCCGTCGTCCTCGTTGCCAGCGGCCGCACCACCAGGTTCTACGAGCAGAACGGGCGGCCGTACTGGGCCGAATCGAAGGCCACGGGCGCGCACGGCACAATTCGTGAGCTCATCCCCGAGGGCCCTTGCAGGCGAATTGACGTGGACAGGGCTGGGGGGATGGAGGTTTCCTCAAGGGCGCCCTCGAGGGCGCCAAGTTATTCGCGCTTCGCGCTTCGCCGTTCGGCTCCGATTCCTCATCCTCCTCGTCTCCCCTGGGAGGCGGCGCGAGAGCGCGACGGTAATCGCACTTCGCGCTTCGCGCAGCGCGAGAGCGCGAGGTTGGGAGCTCCTGTTTCCCGGCGCCTTGCATATTGCCTGGGGCTGCTGGTGGCCTCCGAGTGTTGGGGAGGATGTCTTCGGCCCTCTCCGCCCGCGAAGGCCTGCGGGGGACCCCAGGGGCCCCTTTGGGAGGCGTCCGGACTAGGGGGCAGTGAGGGGCGGAGGCAGGAATGGGTGGGCAGTGATGGGGTGCGGGGCAGAGGCAGGACTGCCGTCGTCTTGCGCGCGCAGGGGCAAGGATTCGCATTCTCACGACATGCGAGTTTGCAATCGTGTTGGCTGCCATCATTTGGAATCGCAGCCACGTAACATGTCACCGTGTATTTCTATCTAATAGGTATGTCTACACATCTGTACATACAACTATCTATATAGATGTGCTAAGCTTTACCTCTCCCAAATTCGTAAGAGGATAGGTGGGTTTTCGGTGTATGGGTTGTAGTGTTGGAGACGGAGTGATGTCAGTAGAACAGCTTTTTCAAGATGCGCATCGGGGGCGGGGAGGCTGTTGAGAACTGCCCGCGGTGTTGGAAACGAGTATAGTGTAGTAGTGGGTGTGTCCTTGGAGACGGTTGGAGTTGCGTAGACGGACCTTCTCAAGTTACACTTGCGGATAAGGCTCTTTCGTTTTTTTGTTTGTTTCTTTCTGTGGTGTGCTGGAGACGGAGGCTGTGGAGTAGTGGATGCTGTGTTGGAGATGACGGCCGTGGAGTATAGCGTGCCATGTTGGAGACGGAGGCTATGAAATAGTGGATGCTGATTTGGAGACAGAGAAGGAGCCAACAGCAACCCGTATAAAAATCCATCGGGAAGATTGTGCCGAATCCGCAGGAGTCATGTACGGAACCATCTCGAATTTTCGAACGGGAGGTTGGCGGAGGCTGGTGAGTAGTGGGTGGGTGACGTGGTGGAGATGGAGGCTGTGGAGCCGTGGGTGTTGCGATGGAGAGGCGAGCCGGCGCCGGTGGCTGTCGGCCGGCGGGGGCGGCGGTGGGTGCGCGTGCTCGGGCTCCTTTTTGGCAGTTCAGTTCTCGAGGGAGTTTCCCTGCGATGGAGGCTGCAGACCAGTGGGTGGTGTGTTGGAGATCGATGCTGTTGAGCAGTTGTTGCTGTGTTTGGGATGGAAGCTGTGGAGTAGTGGGTGCGGCGTTAGAGATGGGGGCTCTGGGGTAGTGGGTAGCGGGTGTCGTGTTGGAGACGGAGGTTGTCGAGTAGTTGGTGCTGTGTTGGGGACGGGCATGAAGCGGGCAAAGTCTTTGAACGTATGTGAGAGAAACGAGCATTGACGTCCTAGGAATTTAGGGAATTTATGCATATGTAAACAAACGCACAGGGCTGGTAATGGTGCGCGCTGCCGACCATATGCATTTCTGTGTATCAATATGCATGTATGTAGGTATACACGTACGCGCGTGCGTATGAATGTGTATATGTATGCATGTATACATATACGTATGTATGCATGCATGCACGTATGTCTGTACGTACGTATGTCTGTCTGTCTGTATATACACACGTATATACGTATATATGCGTTACTGCGTGCATGTATGCATGCATGTATGTACGTATATATGCACGTATGTATGTATGCGTGCATGCATGCATGTATGTGCATGTATGTACATTTGTATGTATGTATGTATGTTTGTATGTATGTATGCATGTATGTATATATGTATGTATGTTTGTATATATGCATGTATGTATGTGTCTATGTATGTATATATGTCTGTATGTTTGTAAACATGTCTTTATGTATGTATGTCAGTGTATGCATGTCTGCACGTATGCATGTATGCATGAGTGCATTAATGCATGCATACATGTATGTTTGTATGCATACATGCATGCCTGTATGTGTGCGTGCATATTCGTGTATGTATGTATGTATGTACGTATGTGTGTATGTATGTATGTATGTATGCATGCATGTATGTATGTATGTATGTAGGTACATACGCATGTATGTATGTATGGATGCATGTATATGTGTGTGTGCATGTTCGTGAACGTATGTATGTTTGTATGCATGTGTGCGTGTACATACATACATGCGTATATATGCATGTGCGAACGTACATATGTATGTACGTACGAATGTACGTACGTATGTCTGCATGTATGCACTTGTGTGCGCATGCATATAGGCATGCGCGTATGGTTGTCTATAGCCATGCACGCATGCATACACATATACATGTATACTCACATACACATACAATTACATATATATATATATATACATCTATACATACACGTATGCACCTGTATGTATGTATGTATGTATGTATGTATGTATGTATGTATATATATATATATATATATATATACAGGTATCACAATAGCCTTCGGCCCATCCCGCCACCGTGACTGGGGTTGTCGGTCATGGGCTTTTAGGATTTTCGTTGGTATGTCGCGGGAGGCCTCTCGGGGGCCTCTCGGGGGCCGTTTTGAGGCCGTTTGGGGGCCGTTTCAGGGAGCCTTTGGGTGTCTTCGGGGCCTCTTGGTGGTCCCTTTCGGTCTCTTGGGAGCTCCTTGGGGCCTCCTTGGGATCTACTGGGGGCCTCTTGGGGCGGAAGACTCGGATTTTCGGTTCGTGTTCCCCCTCTTGGGTCCTTCTCGGGCCTGATTTTGGGCCCCCTTGGGCAGTCTTGGGCGCCTCTTGGGCCGTCTTGGAACCCTTTTTGGCCGTGTTCTGTGGGTCTCTTGGGCCGTCTTGGGGCGGTCCTAGCGGCCTCTCGGGCCGTCTTGGCGCGTCGGGGGCTCCAACGACAAGAACCCCCAAATGTTTGAAAATCTTATTGGGAAATCAATGATTGCGCCCTCTCTAGGCCCTCTTGGGAAGGCTCTTGGGGCTCTCTTGGGGCGTCTCGGAGGCCTTGGGCCTTCTTGGGTCCATTCGTGGGTTTTTGGCGTCTCGGGGCCCTCTTGGACCGTCTTGGGGCCTCTCGTGGGCCCCTCTTGGCCCGTCTTGGGGCCCTCCTTGGGCCCCCAAAAGTCATGCGAGAAGATGCGGGGGAGCTCATGGGGCACGCTGGACGCCCCCCCGCGATTTGGCAATTTTGTCTCCGGACCCTCTTGAAAATCCCTCAGGAGGGAGGACTGGGGCTTAAGGGATTTGGCAAAGGACCCGAGGACACGCCCACTCCGTGCCCAGGGGCACGGCGGCGGATATACATACGTAGCACCCCGCAAATGCGGATAAGAGTGAGGGGGCGGCGGGTAAGACGGCAGTCTGCGAGGCTCTGAAGAAGCCCGCCGCAGGCGCATAATGTTTCAAGCTATAAATCGAGCCCGCCGCAGGAGCCGTCTTTTTTTGTTAAATCAATGTGGGTGGGTCACGGGTTGGGTCGCAGGTGGGTCGCGGGTGGGTCGCGGGTGGGTCGCGGGCCTGGTCGCGGGGGGGTCGCGGGTGGGTCGCAGGTGGGTCGCGGGTGGGTCGCGGGTGGGTCGCGGGTGGGTCGCGGGTGGGTCGTGGGCCTGGTCGCGGGTGGGTCGTTGGTGGGTCGCGGGGTGGGTCGCGGGTGGGTCGCGGGGTGGGTCGCGGGTGGGTCGCGGGTGGGACGACGACAACAAACAGCAATAACATCAACGGAACAAGCAGAATCTTCACCACATATTCTCATGTTAGCGACGCACCCAGAGACATCGGCAGTCTGCGAGGCTCTGAAGAAGCCCGCCGCAGGCGCATAATGTTTCAAGCTATAAGACGAGCCCCCCGCAGGAACCGATTTTGTGTTAAAACAATGTGGGTGGGTCACGGGTTGGGTCGCAGCTGGGTGGACGGTGGGTCGCGGGTGGGTCGCGGGTGTGTCGCGGGCCGGCTGGTCGCGGGTGGGTCGCGGGTGGGTCGCGGGTGGGTCGCGGGTGGGTCACGGGTGGGTCGCGGGTGGGATCGCGGGTGGGTCGCGGGTTGGTCACGGGGTGGGTCGCGGGTGGGTCGCGGGTGGGTCGCGGGTGGGTCGCGGGTGGGACGACGTCAACAAACAGCAACAACAACAACGCAACAAGCAGAACCCTCACCACGGATTCTCACTTTAGCCACGCACCCAGGGACAATGAATGACCGTTCGGCCTCCTCACTCTGATGTTTCTGTATCTGCATATATGCTGATATCTGTTTGAGAACAGACGTTGTCTCCTGTATGCTCGGAGACCCAGTGGCTCAGAAAGCGAGAGGGGTCACTTGTGAACGCCCAACGGCTTGATAGGTAGCAGTTAGTGGGGACGCCATGTCCTTAACCCAATTTTAATGGAACGAGTGTTCGTAAGTCGGGAGACAATGGTTATGCTTGTGATTTTTCACGAGGGAACGATCCAGCTCACCAATGTGATGATGAGTAAAACATTGGCAGGCCAGCGCAATTACCTGCAATCACCACGATCGATCTAATTCATATGGTCAATGCGTGGCTATTGCCTCGCATCTGATTTACGACTGCAAGAAGCCACCGGATTATGAAGGTTACTCATCTCCTCCATCATGTCAATGTCGCAATGTGACCGGTGATCGCAGAAGCAGACGAATTTGGATATGAGAGCGTGTTGAATCTCGGGTTGGTAGGTGATGCAGCTGTGCTGAGATCGGAAATGGATGGTGCAGGAATCGGCTACTTCCTGGATGCGCTCAAGCCACACTTCCCCAATCCAGTTCAACGTACAAGTCATACGACCAAATTGCACATATTGGTTTGTACTATTTGGGTAGACACTTTCCCCATTCAAGCGTCAGTCAGGCTGGTTTGACAAGAAAC